ATCAGCCCTGAGTGCTCACTGGAAGGACAGATCCTGAAGCTGAGGCTCCAGTACTTTGGCCACCTCATGAGAAGAGAAGACTCCCTGGAAAAGACCCTGATGTTGGGAAAGATGGAGGGCACAAGGAGATGGGGACGACAGAGGACGAGATGGTGGGACAGTGTTCTCGAAGCTACAAACATGAGTCTGACCAAACTGGGGGAGGCAGTGGAAGACAGGAGTGCCTGGCGTGCTCTGGTCCAGGGGGTCACTAAGAGTCGGACATGACTAAACGACTAAACAACAACAACAAAATTATTTTACTGCTGTTAGCTGCTCTGAGCCCGGCTTCGGCTGGGGAGGGCAGGATATAAATAAAATTGTATTATTATTATTGTTTGTCGTTGTGAATAGAAAGTAATAATTATTATAATACCAAGCAGAATTCCAAAAGCTTGCGTAATGTAGATGGTACGCTGAAAGAAGTTCAAAAGTGATGGGGCAAAGCAAATGAAAACTGAGCGTTAAAAGAGGCTGCCCAACAGCCCAAGCCATATGTAGGATGGGCACAACAGAGAGGTAGGTGTTCAGATGCAATTATCAGAAAGCAAACACCTGGAACCCACCCTTGCCAGATAATGGAAACGCTCTCGCTGCTCTGGAATGACTTTGTTGTTGTTTAGTCGTGTCCGACTCTTCGTGACCCCATGGACCAGAGCACGCCAGGCACTCCTGGAATGACTTAATAAGGAGCATTTTCATTCAGTCTCCTGCAAGGGACTTCTGTCGAAACCATATACAGAGTCTGCTTGGGATTGCTCACCTACACTCCAAGGCAAATTGCTCCCCCGGGTCTGGCGGTAGGATAAATTGTGCTTAGGCAACAGTTCCTTTGGCGCTGCTCCCACAGTTGTCATCTTTTCCCTTATCTTGCGAGGAATCCTATTCGGAATGAGGGAATTTCCATTAAAAAAAGGGAAAAGTTGACAGCTATGGCTGCTCCCCACTTCAAGTTCATTTTGCAGTGTTGCTAAATTGCCTGGCTTAGGTAGGGCTGCAAACCTTGGCAGTATAACAGGCCCTATTGATCTTGATAATTGCTGCCAGTGCTCTCCTGCCCCCCCCTTTCTGACACGCTGTAGCTTGTCCTTCTGGCTTCTTCCCTGCCTCCAGTTATTTGCCTCCATCTCTGCCCCCTCCCTTCTCTGACTCATCTCAGAATAAAACCCTGTGTTCTAGGTGAGCAGAGTTGTTTGGCTGTAGGCTAGGTTCCCTTCCTTAATCCTAATTATGTTAAGAAAGCACAGCAAGAAAAGGCTTTGAAGGTTCCTCACAGTGTGGGAATTGATTCTGTGGGTTTTCCTTTCTCAGGATCATGCCCTCTCATTATCTTTTTTCTCATGGTATCTTCACCCCAGGGGTCCACCGCGTTCTCTTTCCTTGTACTCAGTCTCTGTTTTAACTTTCCCAGCTGTTTTGGTTACATCTGATATGCTTATTTGATCTCCTGGAGGTTTCATTAAACGCCCACTCTGAAAATCACCCTTACCTTGAAACAGCAGAGAATAGAATAGAATAGAATTTATTATTTATACCCCATCCATCTGGCTGGGTTTCCCCAGCCACTCTGGGCGGCTTCCAACAGAGTATTAAAATACAGTGGTCTGTTAAACGTTAAAAACTTCCTTAAACAGGGCTGCCTTCAGATGTCTTCTAAAAGTCTGGTAGTTGTTCTTCTCTTTGACATCTGGTGGGAGGGCGTTCCACAGGGCGGGTGCCACTACCAAGAAGGCCCTTTGCCTATTTCCCTGTAACTTGGCTTCTTGCAGTTCTCTTGCAGCTCAGTTCTGAAAATAATAATAATAATAATAATAATAATAATAATAATAATTTATTTATACCCCACCCATCTGGCTGACTTTCCCCAGCCACTCTGGGCGGCTCCCAATCAAGTGTTAAAAACCATACAGCATTTAATATTAAAAACTTCCCTAAACAGGGCTGCCTTCAGATGTCTTTTAAAGAGAAGATAGCTGCTTATTTCCTTCACATCTGGTGGGAAGGTGTTCCACAGGGCGGACGGCACTACCGAGAAGGCCCTCTGCCTGGTTCCCTGTAGCCTCACTTCTCGCAAAGAGGGAACCACCAGAAGGCCCTCGGAGCTGGACCTCAGTGTCTGGGCAGAACGATGGGGGTGGAGACGCTCCTTCAGGTCTACTGGGCTGAGGCCGTTTAGGGCTTTCAAGGTCAGCACCAACACTATGAATTGTGCTCGGAAACGTACTGGAAGCCAATGCAGATCTCTCAAGACCGGTGTTATGTGGTCCCGGCGGCCACTCCCAGTCACCAGTCTAGCTGCCGCATTCTGGATTAATTGCAGTTTCTGAGTCACCTTCAAAGGTAGCCCCACATAGAGCGCATTGCAGTAGTCCAAGCGGGAGATAACTAGAGCATACACCACTCTGGCGAGACAGTCTGCGGGCAGATAGGGTCTTAGGCTGCGTACCAGGTGAAGCTGGTAGACAGCCGCCCTGGACACAGAATTAACCTACACCTCCATGGACAGCTGTGAGTCCAAAATGACTCCCAGGCTGCGCACCTGGTCCTTCAGGGGGCACAGTTACCCCATTCAGGACCAGGGAATCCCCCACACCCGCCCGCCCCCTGTCCCCCCAAAACAGTACTTCTGTCTTGTCAGGATTCAACCTCAATCATGAAGTTTTTCAAGCCCAAAGAGTGGATGAGCTTCTGCCTTCTGGAAGAAGGTATATGGTTATAAAGACTAGGACTAGCTGTCCCAGAAACAGTTTCTACCCAAATGCAATTCTGGTTTTAAACACAGTATAAGGAGTCTCTATAGGAGAATACTGTATTTTAAAATGGGGTTTCAGAGTTTTTAGGGGTGTTTGAATGTCTTATGTAGATTTTTCAATTTCATTGTTCTGTATGGGACAATGACAATAAAGATATCGTATTGTATCGTAGTATGCTTTGATGCAAACATGAACAGACACATCACAACACACTATGTATTTTTGTGTTTGCAAGGGGGATGTGTAGTGCTAGTGCACAGAGGAAAAAATGGTGCATAATGTTTCAGCACAAAGCCTCCACCGTTCCCCTCTCTCCTTGGCCTATGAGAAAGACTGCTGCATGCATGTTATACGAGCCATGCTAGGGAAAGCCCTTTTGATAAACCCTGCGACAGAACCCCATTAATAAAGTAGTTAAATTATCAAGACCTGAACGAAACCTGGACACTAAAGTCAAAAGTTCAACAGGCAGCATAACAAACCTATTTGGAGTAAATTCAAGGTGCAAAATCCCCTTTAAATACTGTACACTCTCATGAAAAAACCCATTCTCATGTTGCTACCCTCCAGACCTATCATGAAAAGCCTCTGGTGTTCATGTGGGGAGGGGCAGTCCTTGAGGTACTATGATCCTGAGCTGTTTAAGGCTTTGTAAGTCAAAACCAGGGACGCGGGTGGCACTGTGGTCTAAACCACAGAGCCTAGGGCTTGCCGATCGGAAGGGCGGCGGTTGGAATCCCCGCAACGGGGTGAGCTCCCATTGTTCGGTCCCAGCTCCTGCCAACCTAGCAGTTCGAAAGCACGTCAAAGTACAAGTAGATAAATAGGTACCACTCTGGTGGGAAGGTAAACGGTATTTCCTTGTGTGCTGCTCTGGTTTCGCCAAAAGCTGCTTAGTCATGCTGGCCACATGACCCAGAAAAACTGTCTGCGGAGAAACGTTGGCTCCCTTGGCCAGCAAAGTGAGATGAGCGCCGCAACCCCAGAGTTGTTCGCGACTGGACTTAACTGTCAGGGGTCCTTTACCTTTACCTTTTAAGTCAAAACCAACCCTTTGAATCGGGCCTGGAAACTAATAATAATAATAATAATAACTTATTACTTATACCCTGCCCATCTGGCTGGGTTTCCCCAGCTACTCTGTGCTGCTTTTTAGATGGTTTTTTAATAGGCTTTGTTGGCAGCCAGTGCAGTTGGGTAAAGTGGCTGCTTCATAAGAACATGAAGGAACATGTGATAGGAAAGCAATTAACATCTCTTCAAGCAGGAACAAGTAAAATCTCAATCACACTGGCTTGATTTACATTGTTACACGCCAGCCACAGAAGTGCAAGGATCATGGGGTCTGTGCTTCCTGTCGGACAATAAGGCACAGTGGAGTCAGTGGTGTCTTTATGATATATGGTTTATTTACACATTAATACAACCTGAGCTTGGATTGGGGGTCGGGTGGGAGAATACCAGCATTACACACAGTAGAGGGTCTCTTGCTCTTTCCATAGTTGCAGCAGGCTTGCTAGTAACCCAGCAAAACTATCTCCAACCTGAATTCCTAAACCCTTCTTGTCTGGCCCCTCTCCACAGCTGGTACCTCTTAATGGCTTCCTTGATGGGCTAATAATGGCTAGCCACCATCAGCCTTCTGTTCCTCCAATGACCTCAGCTAGTTCTGCCAAGCTGACCTGATTCACCAGCAAAAGCTGAATCAAGGGCTTTCTGTGTCTGGCATAGTTTAGTCAATTAATTCTAACTTTTGCTAAACCTAAGAAATACGAGGAGGATCTGGCACTGAGGAATTTAGGAGAACCTATAACAATGTACTACGGAACATAATTGCCGTGCTACTGGGCTAATACTGAAAGTGAATCACAGACTGAGTGGTTCTGTACCACAGCTCCTGACCCAGGGAGCTGGAAACCATATAATTCGGTTAACAGAATCTCACTCTCCTAGCTAGCAAGCTGTCGTAACATACTTCCAGTAATAATTTCCACTTCACGTGCTTCAGTGGTTTTTCAGCTTGTGAAGAAGCAGAACATAAATCTGAGAGAATAATGCAATGCCGTAATTATGCAAAATTGAGGAGAGCTTGCCAACTCAAATGAGCCGAGGCAGTTTTACGCAGGGCAGCCAAGCAGGTGCATTATAAGTAGAGCTGACGATTCGTTTTTTGGGTTGGCTGAGCGGCTTGGCTTCTGAACACCAGTCATGGATTCCTGGGAGACTGCGCTTTGTGTTTTCTTCGCATCCTTCCTCGCAACCGTATTTGGTGGGCTCTATGCAGTAGGAGCATTTCGCAAAAGGAAACCCAAGGAACCTCCTCTGGACAAAGGCTTCATTCCATGGCTAGGACATGCGATTAAATTCAAGAAGCAACCTGTAGAATTTTTGGAATGCATGCAGAAGAAACACGGGGATATTTTCACGGTTCTGGTTGGCGGCAATTACTTACATTTTGTGCTGGACCCTTGCACTTACCGGGACATAATAAAGAAGTCCAAAGACAAGCTGGATTTTGATACGTTTGGATTCAAAATAGTTTTTAATGCTTTTAGGTTCCACGCATCCGAAACTCATCACAAAATTGTGCAGCAAAATAGCAAGAAGTATCTGAGAGGCAAGAGTCTAGCTGCCCTGAACCAGGTGATGATGGAGAAGTTGAAGACTGTGATGCTTTATAGCTGTGATTCAGGTGAGAATAAGAGACAATGGCAGCAGGATGGGGTTTTGCACTTTAGCTACAATACAATATTCCAGGCTGCCTATTTGGCTTTGTTTGGAACTGACCCAGACAAAGATGTTGAGAGCGAAAGAAATGCTAAGGAGAATAAACTAACACAACGCGGAGATTTTTTTGGGAATTTTCAGAAATTTGATCACTTGTTTCCCCAAATGGTTTTTGGTATTCTGAACCCTCAGGGCAAAATGGAGACAGAAAGATTGAGGAAATTCTTATGGGACATACTGTCGGTAGAAAAGATCTATCAGAAGGATAACATCAGCAATTGGATAGTTGAGCAAGATCAGCAAATGGCTGAGATTGGAATGACTGAAAAGATGAGGACACAATTTATGTTTCTTCTCCTCTGGGCATCTCAAGCCAACACTGGTCCAGCTGCCTTCTGGGTTCTTGTGCATCTCCTGAAGTATCCAGAAGCAATGAAGGCAGTGTGGGAAGAAGTGGACCGAGTACTGAGAGAGACTGGCCAGGAAGTGAATCCAGGAAGCCCCATCATCGATGTGTCCCTGGAAACAATAAAGACTCCTCTTCTGGACAGTACAATAGAAGAAACACTGCGCTTGAAAGCGAATCCCTTCCTGTTCAGAAGTGTGATGCAGGATACAGATCTTAAAATGGCTGATGGGAGAGAATACATCCTTCGTAAAGGAGACCATCTACTTCTTTTCCCTTTCCTTGGACTGCATATGGACCCAGAAATCCACCCTGATCCTCACACGTTCAAATACGACAGGTTCTTGAACCCAGATGGCACCAAAAGAGAGTTCTATAAGAATGGGAAAAAGCTCAAACAATATACTATGCCTTTTGGCGGAGGGCCGTCTATTTGCCCTGGGCGATTCTTTGCTGTTAGTGAATTGAAGATGTTTGTGATCCTGATGCTCACCTGCTTTGACATGGAACTGGTTAATGCAGAAGAGGAAATCCCACCAGTAGATGGAAGCCGCTGTGGCTTTGGAATTGTGCATCCTTCTCGAGATATTCAGTTTAGGTATCGATTGCGCTCCTAAACTTAAACCTGACTTTTATACATTGGCTTGCAACAATTAGCTGTTGTATACCCCAAACTGAAAACCAAACTGGTTAATCTTCCAAAAGTCCTTTCGCTAGGGAGTAGTATAATTACAGAGAGCGTCTGTGTTATTTAGTATTGGCAAAGGACAAAATGTAGATTGGCATCTCTAGCTAATTATCGGTAAGTAGGATAGGTTTCCACAGGTTACAACATCAGATAAAGTGAAGTTGGGAGGTGTGCAGCCTCTAGAATAGGGAGAGAAAGAATAATGTAGGGAGGGTGGCAGGCCAGGAATAGCCTTTTTTTGGTTTGGAATAGGCTTTTTTGGTTTGAATTTATAACTTTATTCTAACAAGACTTCTGCCCCAGGCCACAGACAAGCTCTGCATGGGCCTACTGTCTGCTGTGAAAGTAGTGGTCTAAGGCCAATTTATAGATTCATGGCAGAGGCATGATTTAAAGCTGGGGAAAGGTGACTTCCTGATTTCTAGTTTAGTTTCTTAGTCTCTCCCTCAGGGATAGCCAATGTAGTACCCTCCAGACTGCAACACCCCTTGACCTCCTACCATTGACCATGCCAGCTAGGGCTAATGGAAGTTGTAGTCCACAACAGCTCGAGCACAGTACCTGATACCAGCACTTTAAAAGTTTCAAACTCTAATATTCACTGTTTTAAGACAACTAAACTACCGTATTTTTCGCTCCATAAGACGCACTTCTTTCCTCTTAAAATCTAAGGGGAAATGTATGTGCATCTTATGGAGCGAATGTGTGGTCCCTGGGGCTGGGAGGGGGCAGGCTTACCCCGCTAGCCCCAACAAGCTCCTGAGCAGCCCTGGGGTAGCCCCCGAAGCCTCCGCAGGGCAGCGGGGAGCATTCATCCCGCTGCCCTGGGGAGGCTTCGCGCAGCTATCCCTGGCTTTTGCAGGAGGTGGGGGAAGGGACAGAGTGAGGCTCCCTCACTTCCCCCACCTCCCTCAAAAGCCCCCAAGAGCCGCATATTTTTTTTCTTGAATCCCCCCCCCCAAAAAAAGTAGGTGCGCCTTATGGAGCGAAAAATACGGTACATGTTTTTGCCTTACAACATGGGCAGCCGGCCTGTGGTACTACAGATCTTGTTGGACTGCCCCTCCCATGAGCCCAAGCTAGCATGGTGAGCGGTTAGGGATGATGGGAGTTGGAGTCCTACAACATCAAGAGGGATCCAGATTCCTTACCGCTGCTTTACAATGCACACCTGTGATTGCTAAGCCTCTAAGGCAGTGATGGCCAAACTTGGCCCTCCAGCTGTTTTGGGACTACAACGCCCATCATCCCTATCTAACAGGACCAGTGGTCAGGGATGATGGGAATTGTAGTCCCCAGACAGCTGGAGGGCCGAGTTTGGCCATCACTGCTCTAAGGCAACATATTTTGCCCTGCAATGCTCTCGCCTTATTAGCAATCACAACTGTCTGTTGCCTTGGGAAGTCGTGCTTAGGTATAAAGCACCTGTCTTGTGCATATTCCTAACTGCTATGGGAGAGCCCAAGAGTTTGTGACATCTTGTGTTTGATTAGTACAGCGTACACTGGAAGAATAGGTGAGAGAGTTGACGAAGCCAGAAACTGGGCTTCTATAAGCCCGTTACTATGAGGAGAGAAACTTAACTAAATTGTAGAAGAACATGCTTAAGGATATTTGTGTAAACTTATTTTCCTGCATTTATGGAGTGTTTAGATCTTGTGTGATTTACTGGAGCCAAACAGAAGCATCAATAGAACTGGGTGTTTACTTTGGAATGGCTGTGCTTTTTTTACACACTTTCTTATGAGACATTGGCAAAACACTGTGAATATAGCATTCCTTACATGAATCGTGATTGCCCTGTTCAGTTTCTGTTTGCTATTTTTAAAGCTCCGAAAATCCAACTTTTTTATATGTATAAAAAAAATTGCTGTGCAATTTTTCTAGTTTTGCTGTCTTTCTTTTAGTCTCTTCACCACTCTGGGTACTGGGTTATTTTCCTTTGGTATCTTCAACAAGAGGTTCCTCCCTTATCTTTTAGTTACATGCTTTTAAAACTGTGTTATGAATTTATATGGTTCAAAAGACAAGCTTGCTTCATATGTTGTGATGTTTAATCTATTTTGCATTGTGCTATTTAATCAGCAGCTGAATAACTTATCCAGGGGTACGTTGTCCTCTTTTCCCACTTTCAGCTAAACTGTTGTAGCCACTTTAGCTACAATCTGTGTATACTTAGGTAGCCAAACCCAGAAAGAGATTCAGTGTTATAACTGCTGAGGACGCAGGGGGCGCTGTAGTCTAAACCACTGAGCCTTTTGGGCTTGCTGATCAGAAGGTTGGCGGTTCAAATCCATGCAACGGTGGTGAGCTTCCATTGCTCTGTCCCAGCTTCTGCCAACCCAGCAGTTCAAAAGCACGCTACTGCAAGTAGATAAAGAGGTACTGCTGCAGCAGGGAGGTAAATGGCGTTTCTGTGTGCTCTGGTTTCTGTCACGGTGTCCCGTTGTGCCAGAAGCGGTTTAGTCATGCTGGCCACATGACCTGGAAAGCTATCTGTGGACCAATGCTGGCTACCTTGGCCTGAAAAGTGAGATGAGCGCCATACCCCATAGTCGCCTTTGACTGGACATAACCATTCAGGGGTCCTTTACCTTTACCTTTACTTAAATGCTGAGGAATTAGTTAAAAATAGGAAAATTAGAGCAAATTATATAGCCAAGGTAGCCACCATCTAAAGGAGATGAATTTATTTGACCCTATCTACATCAAGCTATATTCTATCTTTATCACCAAACTCCGAATATAATTGCACACTGTATTAATTAACATTATTTTTTTAATATATTAGAGGCCATGTGATAATTTTAGCTTATAAATTTTATTGTTTAATGTCTTAATTTGTATATTAAGGTACTTTTATAGCCCTGTTTAGAGTAGGTAATGTCTTGATAACATAAACGTTTTAAGTTTTTTGTACCAATCCAGTATATTTTCTTTTAATTGTTGAATGATTCTGTGTACATTGCGGCAGCCTTTGGCTATCTGCAATAAAACTGACTGACTGACTGAGTTGAAAATAGTTAGGCTACATAACTCTGGTACATATAGCTATTTTAAACACCATAAAAATAAATGCCACCATCCATAATAGTTGAATCATGCTGTATGTATCATCTGACACAGCTCCAGTACAAAGATGAGTAAAACCTATGCATCACCTGTGTTCAGTTATAGCACAGTCAATTACTTGTATGATTAAACTTACCTCAGTGTGCTAAAATAGGACACCTGGTTAATTAGCTAAAGCTGCAGTGAGGATGACTGTAGCCAATACCAGCCGCAGCTGAGCACGCTGAGGAATTAATTCTTATTAAAAGCACAAGAAAATAGTATGGCTTTTAAAATACTGCAGATAATAGAGCTGAAACTGGGGCAGTGGCAATCCTAACCACCGGCTCCACTGGCTGGAGGAGCTCAGGAACAAGCGAAGGAGCCTCTCCACTGGCAGAAAGGCAAATCGAATCATCATTTACTGTGGATACCCTGCTACTCATGCTGATTAACTCTGCAGGTGTAAACAACAAAATGAACAGGACTCCTTGGCAGGTTTTGAATAAAGACTCACAAACTTTTATTGATAATAGCCAGTCAGATAAACTAAGGATCTATACAATTTTGTAACATGCAGAGAATAACATTTATTGATAAACCAGAGAGAGGAGCTGAGGGAAGTCGGGGGGGGGGTATTTTATGGGAAGGGGGGAGGAGGAAAAAAAGGGGGAATTAAGGATATGTTTTTTGATAAAATGTTTTGTTGAAATTCCTAATAAAAATATTTTAAAAAAACAACGCTGCATGTGTATAGCCTCTGAACCTGGTATGTGAATTGGGCCCCTTGCCTCGCAGGTACATACACACTGCTACGAATTAGCAACAACAACTGCTCTTTATGTACAGTGGTACCTCAGATTAATAATAATAATAATAATAATAATAATAATAATTTATTATTTATACTCCGCCCATCTGGCTGGGCCTCCCCAGCCACTCTGGGCGGCTTCCATAGAAACCAAAAATACACTAAAACATCACATGTTAAAAACTTCCCTGAACAGGGCTGCATTAAGATGTCTTCTGAATGTCAGGTAGTTGTTTATCGCTTTGACATCTCGTGGGAGGGTGTTCCACAGGGCGGGCGGCACTACCGAGAAGGCCCTCTCTGCCTGGTTCCCTGTAGCTTTGCTTCTCGCAATGAGGGAACTGCCAGAAGGCCCTCGGCGCTGGACCTCAGCGTCTGGGCAGAACGATGGGGGTGGAGACGCTCCTTCAGGTATACTGGACCGAGGCCGTTTAGGGCTTTAAAGGTCAGCACCAACACTTTGAATTGTGTTCGGAAACGTACTGGGAGCCAATGTAGGTCTTTCAAGACCGGTGTTATATGGTCTCGGCGGCCGCCCCCAGTCACCAGTTTAGCTGCCGCATTCTGGATTAGTTGTAGTTTCCGAGTCACCTTCAAAGGTAGCCCCACGTAGAGCGCATTGCAGTAGTCCAAGTGGGAGATAACCAGAGCATGCACCACTCTGGCGAGACAGTCCGCAGGCAGATAGGGTCTCAGCCTGCGTACCAGATGGAGCTGGTAAACAGCTGCCCTGGACATGGATTTGACCTGTGCCCCCATGGACAGCTGTGAGTCCAAAATGACTCCCAGGCTGTGCACCTGGTCCTTCAGGGACACAGTTACCCCATTCAGGACCAGGGAATCCTCCACACCTGCCCGCCTCCTGTCCCCCAAAAACAGTACTTCTGTCTTGTCAGGATTCAACCTCAATCTGTTAGCCGCCATCCATCCTCCAACCGCCTCCAGACACTGACACAGGACCTTCACCGCCTTCACTGGTTCTGATTTAAAAGAGAGGTAGAGCTGGGTATCATCTGCATACTGATGAACACCCAGCCCAAACCTCCTGATGATCTCTCCCAGCGGCT